CCTGCCTCGTACGCGCTCCCATGCGTGCGCCCAGTCCCGCGCCGAACTCCTCGCGCGCGTGCGCGCTGCCTTCCCCGCCTATGCCTACCGCACATAGGACTCCCGCGCGCTGCCCCTGCACGCGCACGCCATCTCGCCCTTGTTGTGCCCGCCGTGTCCCGCCTGCGCGTGCATGCCGTCCCCTTGCCATGCCTAGTCCCGCGAGGACTAGGCCTCGCGCGCCCGTACCGTATGTGCGTGCATCCGCTTGCGTCCGAGCGCTTCCATCCCCTTTGCGCGCGTCCCGTCCAATTCCCGCGTACTCGTTATTCGTCCATTTGAGCGCATCAAGGATCGATGCGCACTTTTTGCGTTTTAGCCCCCCAAGTCCACTAGCATCGCCGGTGCTAACCTCCACTTCCGTATCATTCCCCTCCTCTTCGAGACTTTCCTTGTCCCCAAGGATAAGAAAATTCAGTACCTCCACATCACTCTCCTCTTCGATAGGCAAATCTCCTCGATCCTCAGTCCTTAACTTAATCCGCTTTCCCGCTCGACCAAATTCCATCTTACCTCGCTTGTAGTCAGTTGTAATGGGCCCAAGTGTCTCCAACCATTGCACGCCCAATACTACAACCGTTGCCCTCAGCGGTAAAGCATAGAGATCGATTTCTAACTTTTGGTCTTGAGCCATTATTGGAACCTTCTTGAATAACTGATTCCCTTGTAGTTCATGTCCATTGGCTACCTTGACCCCAAACGTCTTGACCTTAGTGGGTTTTAACTTCAACCTCTTGGCTATCCTTTCGTCAATGAAATTCAAGCTCGATCCACTATCCACCAACACTTCCAACAGCATGTCTTTAATTTCCGCAGTGAACCTGATCATCTTTGGACCTCGTTTCTTGCACTTAACCATGTGTAGTAGCGTCTCCTCGTGTGGTTCTCCATCTTCCTCAAATTCCAACAGAAAGACCTCCTTACCTTTGCATCTGTGGCCTGGCGTAAACTTTTCGTTGCACGAATAGCAAAGGCCTTTTTTTCGCCGTCGTTGCATCTCCTCGTCGGTAAGCCGTTGTATGTTGCTCGTCGTTCGAACGGTTTCCCCCAATGGCTTGCTTTCGGCTCGCGCCGCTTGCTCCTCAGTAGTGTGCTTGGTCTCCGTGCGCACTTCGCTCGGCCTTGCCTTGCGTACCGCCACGAGATGATCTTCGTGCAATCTAGCCGACTCTATGGCTGCTCGCATCGACCCTGGCCTATCCAACCTTACTTCGGTTGCCAACTCAGCCTTTAGTCCCCCAACAAACGTTCCTACTAGCACAGCCTTGGGCCAGTCCCGTACTCTACTAGCAATGTGCTCAGACTCTTTTTGATAATCCCTTAGACTACCCACTTGTTTGATTCTTGACAAAGCCTCGTTGTAATCGTGGTAGTCACTCGAGCCAAACCTCGTGATGAGCTCCTTTTCAAAATCTCTCCAACGCACGTGCTCACCATGGTTTTTGTGCACCACCCATTTCCACCATACGTTTGCTTCCCCATCCAGATGATAAGCAGCAATTTGAACCCTTTCGTACCTTGGCACATCATTGATCTCAAAAAATTGCACAGCTCGACTCAACCATGCATCTGGATCTGTCCCCGTGAACGTGGGCATGACTATTTTTGGCCGTGTACTTGCCTGCTCGTCCCGTGGATCGTCGCGACCGTGGTATCGGGCATGTCCCTCGTCCCGTCGTTCATTGCGTCGTCGACCCTCGCGATGTGGCCTCCGCTCGTCGTGTGTCGCATGCGACGCGTACGATGCGTGAGATCGCCAGTCGTCGTCATCCTCGCGCCTTCGGTCGTGGTGTGCGCGTCCATCGTATCGGTCGTCGTGGTGGTGATCTGCGTGCGATGCGCGTGTGCCCCGCGATCGGCGATCGTCCTCGCGCTCGGTCCCGGTGCTTGTCGCCGTGGACCTTGACCCGTGACGCCTCCTTAGCTGCGTGTTCATGCGCGTTAGCTGCCCGGCCAAGTCCTGGACCATTAGTTCGATCCTTCCCAAGTTCTCGTTGGTGGCATGTTGACCATCGCCGATGATTTTCATGTTTTCTTCCAACGCTTGAATCCTCTCATGGTTTGACATCATAATTTTTTTTTTTTACTCTAAAAAATTCGAACAAAATAGAAAAAAATTCAAAAATTCGAACCCCCAACAAGACTAAAAAAAAAATCGAAACAAAAAAGAAATTCGGCCACTCAACAAAAGGTAATAACCGAACAATCAAACAAAGGACTAACAAGATGACACTTTTTTTTTAAGACACGAAAAATTTGAAAAATTCGAAAAAAATTCGAAAATTTTGACCCAAAAAGAAAAGAAATTCGGTCCCCTCAGCAAAAGGCAAAACCGAAAAAATAAAAAGATAGATAGATAAATACACGATCAACACCTCTCAATGAAAGCACCAATGATGAAGGATC